TGTGTGTGTGTGTGTGTGTGTGTGTGTGTGTGTGTGTGTGTGTGTGTATGTATATGTGTATATATATATATATATATATGTACCTGAATGTGCCTTTTTGACTCCTGTCTTCTTTCTGGGCCTCAGTTTCCTCATCTGTAAAATGTGAGGACCAGATAAGGTTCTTCTAATGTTCCTTTTCTTTAAATCTTTGATCCTGTGATCTTCTTCTCCCATCACACCCTAAACTTGGAGTCTCATGTCCTGGGCTGTTTAGGATGACTGTTGGGTAGGCCTCTCAGGCTGAACCCCGAGCAGGGATGGGCTGAGCTGGGCCAGCCACTTTAAAGCCCACACCAAGCTGCGTGTCCTGATTTGGTCTGCTGTGACACCAGGCAGGTTCAGGGGTCAGAGGGCCCACTTCATCCTGGAAGTTAGCCCTCTACACCGTCTACACCTTGCCTTCTATCTTGCTTCTATGAGTGTGGAGGTGCCACATTGCCTTCTCAGTGAGACACATCGTAGGGGAAGAAGTTAGATCCAGGTCCAAAAGGCATCAGATGGAGGGTGAAGACGAAACCCCAGAATTTCGGCTCCCAGTCTCAGGGTTTTGGCTCACCACCATTTTGTTGAAATCCCATAGATAAACCCTTTTATGTTCCTACTTTCTCTTCCTTTCTTCTCTCACCCTGCCCCTTCTCTGCCGTTCCCTCCATCCTCTTCCCACCCTACCACCCCAGGAAAATGATCAGCAGGTTCAGCAGTCTCTGACTCCAGGGTCCCTACCTTCCCAACCTTTCTTAGTCAACAAGAGCCCAGGCCTAGGAGGGTGGCCATCCTGCAGAGGCCTGGTGGGTTTCCATGGCAACCTAGAGCCTCCCAGCCCCACCGCAATGGCCCCTTTGAAAAATTTATCAGGAAAACTTCCCTCTTTAAAAATTAACATCAGAATTGAAATATTAAAGACAAGCTTCTTCAGGCAGGAGTGGGGAGAGGGGAACTGAATGCTAAATTTGGGTGTGGAGGGGGTGCTGTATCTTTAGCAAGATAACTCCTTCTCCCCTTTTCTTTCCCTAACATCTCATCTCATCCCACCATTTCTCAGGAATACTACCACCCCTTCCCCCAAATCTTCCTCCCTGAGATTGTAGCCCCAAAGATGTATTCCTGTCATACTTGGTCAGAGGACCTCAAAGCACTGTATGTGGGAGACAGAGGTGGAGATTGAAGGCTGGCCTCCTAACTATAAACTGAGGCCTAAGTTGGGGGGGAAGGTGAGGCCCAAGGGGTCTCTAGTGGTAAAAAGAACAAAACCCCAGATTTCTTGTTCCCATTTTGCTGAAATTCCAAAGATAAGTCCCCCCTATACATACCTCAGTTGGGTTTTCTTTTATACTCCCACTTCTACCATTTTGAGAGCTCTTTGCTAGTCTTACTCTCTCCCCCACCCATAATTCAGGGGCTGAGATTGGGGGGCCACATTCCTATATCCCTTTATCAATTTTGCCTGGTCTTGGTGGAAGCCCCGAGGGCAATTCGTGCCTCTTGCACCATGGGGCCATAAGTCACAGACAGGTTTCTGGGTGCTTTGAGATCTTCCTTGGAGCTCTTCAGTTGGGGTTGGGGTAGGAGAATCAATACCAACTTTGTTTCTAGGTCCTGAGCTTGCACTATTTTCTTGTCCTTTCCTAAGGGCTCCTTTCTCCTTCTCTCCCACCAGTCCCCTTGGGTCATTGACTTTTCAGCAGTACTCATTATCCCTGGAACCTGAGTCCTCATAATAAGTCGGACTGTGAGATTGCTGACCCTGACATAGAGCCAGTCAAAGCAGCTCCCTTTACTGGCCCAGGCTACAGGAGCTTTGGGGGATCAGCACGTGCCCTGAGGAGAGTGGGGAGAGTGTGCCCTCAGACACTTCTTCAGGGAGTGCTTATGTCAGGGCATCTCTGGTGCCCAGGCCTTAGGGGAGAGTGGTGCCAAGCACTCAAACTGGCAGAAGCCTGCCAGCAGATTGCAGCCGCCTCTCCCCCTGCCCCTGGAGGCGTCTGTGGCTTGAGGCCCAGGCTGCTGTGGGGGTTGGTTCTTCTGTTCTTCCCCCTCATCCCCCGCCTCTCTACCCTACTCCTCAACCCAAAATGAGGCCTTAAATAGGAAGAAAGGAGAGGGCGCTCCTCACGCTTCCCAGGTTGGAAGGAAAACAACTTTCCTCAGTGGACTGAGCATCACCAGTTCCCCTCCAGCCCCTGCCCCATGCACATGATACCAAGTCATTGAGCCCAGGGTTGCAGCTGGCCCCTTCTCCCTCACCAAGTTACCCTCATCTCACATTTGGTGATGGAGGATGGTGCCCTCCTTTCCTTGCCTGGGCCCCTGCCCAAAGTCTCAGTTCTTCAATCCCTCTTCTAATGGGATAGTTCCATTTCTGTTGCCCTACTCCCTGTTCTTCCATCCATTCTTTCATGCTCAGATCACCCCCTCCTTAGCCCCCTCCCATCCACATATCCTTCTACCACCTTCAGCTATTCTCATCCCAAACTTAGGTTTTCCTTAACCATGTGTGTGAGGGGATCCCGAGTCTCCCCCTATATAGGTCTCCCCATCAAAAGGGCCTATCCCCAGCTTTCTCCTACATCCAAATTCTCCCTCCCTCCCTCTCAGGTGGTCCCATCCCCAGGTCTCCCCCAGCTTCCCCCCGGCTTAGTCTGGGGCTAACTCCTGCACTCTGCCTTCTCAGCCTGTCCACCTGGCCCAGGTGAGCTTCCTCATCCCTGCCTTTGGTTTGAACTTCACTTTGGACCTGGAGCTGAACCAGTGAGTGTGTGTGTGTATGTGTGGCAGAGGGTGGGAGAGAGTCGGGATGAGATCTAGGCAAGAATCCTGGAAAAAAAGACAGGAGGCTAGAGCTAGGGGATGGGGTGAAAGGATAGGCTTGGGGGTAAGGAAAGGGGGCTGGATGAGAGAAGAGTGGGGAGGTGGCCAGTGGGCTGAAGGAGGGGACAGAGTGGGTGGGTGTCTGTGGGTTTTGGGGGAGGGGTGTGCTCTGCTGGGACCAAAGGAGAAGGAAAAGATAACTGAACTCCTCCACCCATTACTTCCTCTGCCCTGCTCTCATCTTGCTATCTCTTGGTCTTGCTCCAGTCACCTCCTGGCTTCACATTATGTGGAACGGCATTTCAGCAGAGATGGGACCACCCAGCACCGCACAGTGAGTGGAATGAATGGGAAGAGGTGGGGCTGGTGAGGGAGAAGTCCGGGGAATATCAAAGGTGGGTTGGGGAGAGGGAAGAAGGTCAGAAAGGAGGAGACATAAAGGTAAATGAGATCATTGAGATACTCTGATTTCTGGCATTTCTATTAGTTCTCCTCATCTTTATCTACCCTTCCCCTCCTTTCCCCCCATCCCAAATTACTTCAAAAGCTCCCAGTAAATACTGGGCTTGAAGTCAAGAGACCTGGTTTTGAATTCCAGATCTGATACTTAACTAGCTATATGACCCAGGTTGTTCATCTGTAGAATGAGGAGATGGACCAGATGACCTTTGAGGCCCCTTCCATCTCTAAATCTATAATCCTATGCCTTCTCTGCACCTTAATTTCCTTATGTGTAAACTTCTACACACACTAAGAAGAGACTGAGGTTAGGAATGAGTTTTGCAAACTTTAGAGTGTTTTAGAAATGTGAATTATATGGACTGTGCTGACAAGGTGGGGAGAAGAAAGATGGCAGAGAAAGAGGGTATGTTCTTTGGGGATCCTAGGAACCCTGGCTTTTTGACTCCTCATTCTTTGAATCACTGGTCTATCAAAGTCTGTGTTGGGACAGCATGTTGTGTGAGGGGAGGGAGAGGCAAGGGTGGAGAAAGCATGGGATTTGAATTCTGACTACTACTTACTGCCTGTGTGACCTTGAACAAGTCACTTCTCATCTCTCTAGGCCTCAGTTTCCTTATCTGTAAAATGGGGAGGTTTGATAGATGATCTCTAAGGTCCCTACCAGCTTTACATTCATAGCCCTGGGATCCTGTGAGGAGGATGAGGCACCAGGAAGGGTAGAAGAAGGAAGGTCCCATCATCTTTCTGGACTTTAAATATAGCTATAGCTCTGTCTCCACATCTGGAGTGCCCTGTGATTCTGTTGGTAATGGGAGCTGGTTATAGTAATTGAAGAAACATCCTCAGTTCACTTCCTGTCCCTTATCATCATCCGTCTTTTGCCAAGTCCCACTAGGACTTTATGGCTGTCCTCAGGAATACCCGGACCCCCTCCTCCCGCCTCAGTTGCCAAAGGGGCCTGGGCAGAGATGAATGAGTTTCTATAAATAACCCACTCCTCTCTTCTCCTTAGGCAGTTTCGATAACTGGGGCAGAAGTAATTTCCCATGAAGTGAAGGGACTGGGCGGAAGGGGAGAGCTGGAGACAGGAGGAGCTATGGGGGGGAGGGGTCCAACCCATTGTCAGTGAGCCAGGAGAAGCCCCTTCATAGAATCACAGCATTTGAGAGGTACAAGGAACCCCAATGACCATCTAGTCCATGGTACCAAACTGCAAATAGAAACAGATTCATATTGACCTAGAAAACCACAAATTAACATTATCAATGTTTTATTGTGTTCTTATTTATTTTTGTTACACATTTCCCAGTTACATTTTAATCTGGTTTGGAAGGCCTAGGAGGCCCTCAAATTGGACAAATCCAGTCTTGTCCAATGCATGCACGGAAGGAATCCCCACTATAACATACCTCAACCAGTGGTCATCCAGAGTCATCCTTGATTCTACCCCTCATGACTTATTGACATTCAGATGGAGGAGATAAAATCCCAGCATTCTCTCCCCTTACATGGCTGTCACTCTAGTCCAGGCCCTTATCACTTTTTTCCTGAACTATTATAATAGTCTCCTAATTATTTGCTAGTCTTCCTACCTCCATTCCCTCCTCTTGCAGCCCAATCACATCACTGTCCTGCTCAGAAATCTTCAGTAGCTCCCTATTACCCTAGGATAAAATATAAATTAAACTCCTTAACCTGGCATTTGAGATCTGATTCTAGACCAAATTTTTGTCACCTTACCTTGTAGCCTGCTTATCTGTGTTCTATCTCTCTTATTATATCTTTTTTTTTTTTTTTGGTGAGGGCAATCGGGGTTAAGTGACTTGCTCAGGGTCACACAACTAGTAAGTGTCAAGTATCTGAAGTCAAATTTGAACTCAGGTCCTCCTGACTCCAAGGCGCCACCCAGCTACCCTCTCTTATTATATCTCAAACCCCTCGAGGAAAGGGACTGGCATTTTTCATCTTTGCATGTCCAGTTCTAGATTGTGCCTTGTATGTAGTAGGAACTTAATAAATGCTTGTTAGGTTAATCTAAAGGACCCTTAGAGATCACCTATTCTGGGAGTTCTTAATCTTTTTTATGCAGGGACCCCTTTGGGGCCATCTGATAAAGCCTAGGTACCCCTTCTCAAAATAATCTTCCTAAATGCCCAAAGTAAAATACATAGGCGTACAAAGGAAACCAATTCAACTGAAATATAATTATCCAAATATTCACTAAAAGGGGCACATACGGAGGCACAGTGGATAGAGCAGCAGCCCTGGAGTCAGGAGGACCTGAGCTCAAATTTGGCCTCAGACACTTACTAGCTGTGTGACCCTGGGCAAGTCACTTAACCCCGACTGCCTCCAAAAAAAAAAATTCATTAAAATAAGTTTACAGATCCCAGGCTAACTTGATCTAGTCTAATCTTCCCATTTTACAGGCAGGTGGGGGCCAGAGATGACAGATAACTTGCTGGAGGACACAGTGAGTTAGCAAAGCAGAAGTCTGAGCCTCAGTCTCCTTTCTCAAAGGCCAGGGCTTTGGGCCACAGAAGTGTCTATGGCTGAGCCAGGTGTGGCTGGACCATAGGGATCCTTGCAGCAGCCACCTTATCCATCCCCTTGGCCCTGTGAGATGATGCCAGGAGAGGGGAGCCCAAAGGAGGCAGGCAGAGCAAAGACTTAACTAACCCCCCTGGCTCTGTGGCTATTTCAGGGGGCCGGGGACCATTGCTATTACCAAGGAAAGCTTCGGGATAACCCAGAGTCCTTTGCTGCCCTCTCTACCTGTCAGGGACTGCAGTGAGTATTGGCGCCTCGGGACACAGGAGGTCGGGGAGCCCCTCAGATGCCCTCTGACCACTTCCCCATTCCCTGAGACAAGCTGGGGGCAGGTGAGGAGGTGGGGGGATGGTGGGAGCTAATCCTTTCTCTTCTTACAGTGGAGTCTTCTCTGATGGAAATTTCACTTACACCCTCGAGCCCCAAGACGCATCCCAGGTAAGGCGATGTCATCCAGTCATTCCCTCCTAACCCCAGGTGCCCACCTTTTGGGGTCTCAGCTCTACTTACTCTTTCCATAAATACTAAGGACTACTGTTCTTCCCCTGGAGGAGCAAGCTAGCCTTTTCTACCCCACCCCATCCTCCAATAATGCAGCTCTCTTTCTTATGCTCTACTCCTTCCTTTTCCTTCCTGTCACCCCAGTCACAGTCAGGTAACCCCAGCTACAGTATTCCTGCCTGTCCCCCTACTAATCTCAGATCTGACTCCAACGTCCTTACCTCCCTCCCTCCCACCCCCATCTCCTGGTACCTGTCCCCCAAGGTCCTGACCTCGCAACCCGAAGAGCTGGGAGATTGGATCTGACATACTGACGTGGGAACCTTGGCTATTCACCTCTGGGTGGGGTTAAGGGCAAGGGAGGAGGGAAATACCAGAAGCTGCCCTTTGAGCTTCCTCTGCTAGTGTGCCTGTTTCCCTGGAGTAAGAGGGTCCAAAGTGGGCTGACTCCTCCCTCTTCACTGCAGGGGCCTCTCCCCCACATCATTCACCGGACCTCTCTTCTCCCAATCCCTGGATGCAGGGAACCAGGTGAGGCAGAGGGAGCGAGGGGAAAAGTGAGGGGTGGGGGGAAGGGAGGGAGGGGGTCTGGATTGGACCCTCACCTGCCCTCCCTCCCCCCAGGTTGTCTGTTTGCTGCTCCCTCACTTCCTGTTCCACCGGCCCTGCCCAGGCTGAGAAGGAAAAGGCAGGTATGGGGCCCATGGAAACCTCAGGCTGCAGAATCCTCAGGTTTCAGACTCAGGCAGGAGGAGCCTGCAGCCTCGGGGACCCTGACAAGCATGGCCTGGGGCCTCGGACTTTATATGGGGGAGCGGGTACCTGTCCCATTTTGCGTGGCAGCCACAACCTGCCCATTGCTGGACCCGTAGCCTCCCCAGTTTCCCTGCCCACCCATCTGCATGTGTTTGCACCTGCCCACAGGCGTACTACCACTTTAAATGAGATCATTAAATGCTTTGCAGACCAAAAGCACGACCTAAGGATCTGCTATGTTGCATCGAGCATGCAGAATATCCGGCATAGTGCAGAGGGGTTCAGAAAGATGCACGAAGGGGAAAAGTACACCAAGCCATTAGGATGGGATGGGGAGGAATAGGATGCCATATGGTATTCTTGCCTTGAACTCAAAATGAATTAGCTCCCTCTGGTGCTGTGTTCATCCCAAGAAAATCCAAAGCGAATGCAACCCTGTGGGAGTCTAGAATAGGGGTTCTTAATCCTTGTGTATCAAGGACCCCACTGGTAGTCTGGGAAAGTTTATGAACCCTTTCTTGGAATAATGTTTTAAATGCAGAAAATCAAATATATAGAATTATAAAGGAAACCGAAGATTAGTTAAAAAAAAAAGCTACAATTATTTTCACATCTAAGTTCACGGACTTTTTAGGTTCCACGGACCCAAGGTTAAGAATCCCTGCTCTAGAATCTGTAGTTCCCAATTTACCATCCATAAGTTTCCCAGCTGGCTGGAAGCCCTAGGTTCTTTGGGACTTAGAGCTTCCAGTGACCTGGGCTCGGCTCTCAGGGAGGGAGGAGGACCGGAGGGAGGAGGACCGCTGCCTTCTCACCTGCCTCTCACCCCTGACCACACCCCCAGGTCCGGCGTGGCCACTCTACCGTCCACAGTGAGACCAAATATGTGGAACTCATTGTCATCAATGACCACCAGCTGGTGAGTTCCTTGGGTCAGAGGCAGGGATTAGGGTGGGCTCCAGATATGCAAGGAAAGGGGAGGGCCGAGAAGATGCTGCCCTCTTCCGGACATTCTCCCTCCCCCAATCTCTCCTACTTGCTCCTCTCTCTCCACTTTCTTGCTGTCAGTTTGAGCAGCTTCGTCAATCAGTCGTCCTTACCAGCAACTTCGCCAAGTCTGTGGTGAACCTGGCTGATGTGGTAAGCAGTGCCAGTCCCCACCCCTGATGTGACTCCCTCCTTACCGCCCCCCCCCCAACCTGCAGCTTCTCCTCTTCACTCCAAACCAGACCCTATCCCTGCAGCAAGGGCCACTGAACTGGACATAGGGATACCTGCAGGTCACATGTCACCTTAGAAAACCACATATTAGTATTATCTGTTTTACTGTATTTCTATTTATTTTGTTAACTATTTCCCAATTCTATTTTAATCTGGTTCTGGTGTACTCGGGAGTGTTGCAGGGTGCAATGGGGCCTTGTGTTTGACACCCTTCTCCCAGTCAGCCTCTAGTCCCATCCGTGGCACCCTTTGACTCCCTGTCTAGCTCCCTTATCACTACCCAGGGTTATGAGCGAAATAATAGTAAATACTTATGTAGCACTTTAAGGTTTGTAAAGTTCTTTGCATGTTGCCTCATTTGATCCTTACAACAATCCCGCGAGAGAGGTGCTATTATTTCCCCCATTTTACAGATGAGGAAACTGAGGCTGAGAGAAGTTAAGTGAGTTGCCCAGGGTCACACGGCCTAGAAGCACCTGGGGCAGGATTTTATTTTGGGATTTCCTGACACCAAGGCCTGCACTTCATGCTTTACACCACCTAGGATCCATGCCCTAGAGGGAACAAGGACTGAGATTGTCTAGGGGCTGTGGTATCTGGAGAGACTTCAGAGTTTTTGCCCTAATTTCAGTCTCTCTCAACTAGTCATATCACTCCCTGCTCCAAACGGAACAGAGGAGCAGTTCTTATCTCCCATTTTACAGAGGAGAAAGCTGAGACCCAGACTACATAAAGAAGTTGGAGCACTGAAGGCTCAGCTAGGTCTCTGGTCCTTGCTCCAACCCTACTCCCTTGGCCTTTTTCTGGCCTGCTACCCCTTTGTCTTGCCCCAAGATAACAATAATAATAATGATGATGATAATAATTACTAGCATTCGTAGAGCTTTAAGATTTGCAAAGTGCTTTACAAATATGATCTCATTTTATCCTTACAACCTTGAGATGTGGGAGCTATTATTATCCCCTTTTTACAGATGAGGAAACCAAGGCAGAGAGAGGTTGTGACTTACTCAGGGTCACACAGCTAGTGTCTGGGACAAGATTAGAACTCAGGTCTTCCTGATTACAAATCCACCCACTGGGCCACCTAAACCATTCTCTTCTTCTCCGTCCCTAGCTGTATAAAGATCAGCTTAACACTCGAATTGTGCTGGTCGCTATGGAAACATGGGCAGGCAGTGACAAGATCCAGGTACAGGATGACCCTCTAGAGACCTTGGCTCGACTTATGGTTTACCGGCGGGAGGGACTACCTGAGCCCAGCGACGCCACACACCTCTTCTCGTGAGATTCCCTGCCCCACCCCATTGACCCTTTCTTCATCTCCTTTCCTTTCCTGGTGAGAACTCTTCCCCCTCTCCAGACCCTAGAGGGCCTCTCCCCTAGACTCCCAGAGCCTCCTGGGAACACTGAGACAGGCCAGTCTATTCCAGACTCACATGGCACCCCGGGTCTCCTGGGTTCCCTTCAGTTAACCCCACTGAACTCCTAGGTTCCCTGTCAATAACTCCTGAAGACAGCAAGCCTCCTAGCAGCTCCAGGAAGGGAGCTGATCTGCCAGAGGGGCCAGGAGCCAAGACTGGGACCTGGGAGTGGGAAGAATGCAAAGGGAAAAGGAGTAGCTTCTCTCAGGCTTAGCTTGATGGTGTCATCCCCCATGGCTCTGATTTGTATTCTGCTCCTACTTTTATCTCTGTCCAAAACGTGGAATCTTTGTAACCCCATCCAGTCCTTCTATAGCAAAGCTCTCTCCCTCTCCTCCTTTCGGTGTCCTCTCCCCAGCCGCTTTGGTCAGAGATTTCTCTGTCAGCTGGAAGCTAAATCCTGGTTCACCTTCTGAGTGACACCTGCTCCATCACACTAGTGGCCTCTGATACTCCCCTGTTTCTTTTTTCCCCCTTTTGGTGGCCCTTTCCCTTCCAGGTGTCCAGTGCTCTCACGTTTCCTGATCCTTGGAGAGAAAAAAAATGTGATAAACTAATTCACATTAAGGTGCCAAGGTCTAGAATCCTGGAATCTTAAAATCTTTAGAGCTGGAAGGAGCCTCAGAGATCAGCTATTTCATTCTGCATCTGTGAGAACTGAGCACCAGAGAAGGAAAGTGATTCCTAGAAGGTCACACAGTGAGTTAGCTGAGGTAGAAGTGGCATCCCTCCTAGGGATGTTTGCATTTTAAACCGTCCATAGGAAGAGGCTCAGCCAACTCCAGAAATGACCCAGAAATGGTGGAATAGCAGGCATTGACGGGGAAAGACATGTACACCGAGGACCCTCCCAGTCTCTTAAGTCACCCCATGGCTACTTACTTGGCAGACCAGGCACTTACATCGTATCTCCCTCCATCATTCCTTCCCCAGGGGCAGGACCTTCCAGAATGCCAGAAGTGGCACTGCCTACGTTGGGGGCATCTGCTCCCAATCTAGGGGAGGTGGTGTCAATGAGGTAAGAGGCTGTGGGGCTTGTGCAGGGACCAAGGATTGATAGAGGAAGAAACAGTTAACAGTTAACAGGTCAGGAAGATTCTGGAGGCAGGTGGGGGCTCCTCTTGTTGTGGGCTTTGGGTTTGATCTCTGTCTCTCCATCACTCCTTCCAGTATGGCACTGTGGCATATGTGGCAGTGACATTGGCACAGACCCTGGGGCAGAATCTGGGCATGATGTGGAACAAACATCGAAGTTCAGCAGGTAACCCCTTAAAGTCTTTTGAGCCTTCCCCACTGGATACCCTGTCTCTGACTGAGCCTCAAGTTCATGGAAATGAAAGGAGAAGGGGGTGCTTTCCATCACATACCTATATGCCAATAGGATTTAGAGCTGGAAGGGGCCTTCTACCCCACCTCTCTCCTTTTACAGAGAAGGAAACAGAGGACCAGAGAAGTCATGTTCTTTCCCCAAGGTCACACAGCTTTTAAGTAGCAGAATTAAAACCTAGGAGCCCTCTCTTTCCACTACATTGCACCTGGTCTCTGTGGGGGAGGAAGGCAGGCAGGGGATGGGGTGGGAGAGGTGTAGGGGAGTCCTAGGCTACTAAGGGCAGGGACTTCTCTGAGTGTGCCCTGGATCTTCCTGCAGGCGAGTGCAAATGTCCAGACACCTGGCAGGGTTGTATGATGGAAGACACAGGGTGAGCTCTTTTTTTTTTTTTTTTTTTGTTGGGGGGGGGGGGGGGGGGGGGAAGAAAGGGGGGGCCAGAGGAGGGGCACAAGATCCTGGTAGCTCCAGAAGCAAGGCTGGGCCAGCTGGGAGAGGGAGGGCACCTCACAGCTGGACTGAAGGCCTTGGGCTTGGCGTGCGGAGAGCAGGGCTCTCCTGGAGCTCTGCCCAAATAGAATCCCCCTGCTCCGGAAGTCCCAGGAGCTCGCTGACATGCAGTTCCCAGTGATGGCCACCAGATATTTCCCCAGGCCTGGTTTAAACTAGAGCACATCTCCCTCCCGCTGTTACCTGGTCCCTATCCCCTGGTCCTGAGGAGAGGTCAGCTCCCGCCATGTCCCATGGTAGACCAGGTGTGGCTCCTGTGATCCTAGGGAAGGTCAGCCTCCACCACACCTCATGGGGGAAGACCAGGGACCCTTGGGGAGTCAGGGACTGGGTGGTGGTGGGGACAGTCAGGGATACAGGCTGGACTTGGGCGTCCTCCTGCCCCTTCCTTCAGGCATTACCTGCCCCAAAAGTTCTCGCGCTGCAGCGTGGAGGAATACAGCCAGTTTCTGCAGGAGGGAGGCGGCAGCTGCCTTTTCAACAAGCCCCTCAAGGTAGCTAACCACGGCCCCTCCCACTCCAACCCTCTCCCCCAATCTGCCCGCACCCAGAATGTAATGTCAACTCTGAAAGGGACCCTTGGAGCCCTGTGGCCCCACCTCCCCTTCTGTTATAAAGGAAGAGCCCCCTCTCCACGCACCTGCCCCAGGGGAGGTAGGTGGCGGGGCTAAGGCGTGGACAGGCCTCGGATTTGGGGCCCAGGGAACCCCTCCCTCTCGCCCCCTCCCCAGCAGGCACTATGGGTAGCCTAGGGAGCAGGGAGGCTACGCCCTTCCCCCTTCGCGGTGTTAGGGAGGGAGGACAGGAGAGGGGTCCTCCTCTGCCCTCCCTGCAATCGCACCCTTCCGCAGCTGCTGGATCCCCCGGAGTGCGGAAACGGCTTCGTGGAGGCCGGGGAGGAATGTGACTGCGGCTCGGTACAGGTGAGTGTGCGGGCGGGGCAGCCAGGGAGAGGTTGGACGCTGGCCAGGGGCTGAGCCCGGCACTTGCTCACCTCCTCTTCCCTTTCCTCCCCTTCCCTCTCCTCTCCCAGGAGTGCAACCGAGCCGGCGGGAACTGCTGCAAGAAATGCACGCTGACCCACGACGCCATGTGCAGCGACGGGCTGTGCTGTCGGGGATGCAAGGTGAGGGGCAGCTGGGCCCCGTGCTGTCCTAGGCTCGGAGGTTGAGTAGGGGCGGTCCTGGGGCAGGGCGAAATCGGAAAGCCGAGAGCATGAAGTGGGAGGTTCTAGGGCGGAGCCTGGGGGCGGGGCCTGGCACAGGCAGGAGGAGCAATCAGAGGCGCAGGAGGTGGAATGAGGGCGGTCCTAGGGAAAGGCCCATGTGGGGGCGTGGCCAAGAGCGGGCGAGGAGTAGCCATTGGAGCCCAGGAGAATGAATGGGGGCGGTTCTAGGGCGGGCGGGGCCAGAGCCGAGGAAGGAGCGATTGATTGATTGCAGGCTCTGAGAATGAATGGGCGCAGGGCTGAGAGGGGTGGGTGGTGGGACGATTTAGGGCTGGGCCTGTGCCTTTGGGAGGGAACCCTTAGTGTCTCCTCCTCCTGCCCCCTTCCTAGTATGAGCCAAGGGGAGTGTCCTGCCGAGAGGCTGTAAATGAATGTGACATCGCAGAGACCTGTACAGGGGACTCCAGCCAGGTCAGTCTAATGCCCCGGAGGGACTGGGCTGTCCTCCCATGTAATCTTAGCCCAGCCCTCTCTCCACCCCCCCAATACTGGGATGGGAAGAGGGGTACAGTGCATCCCTGACCCCAGTTATTTCCAGTTCCCTTTCATTGGAAAGTGGGGGTTGGGCACCCAAACACTCACTCTTGTTTCTGCAGTGTCCCCCTAACCTGCACAAGCTGGATGGTTACTATTGTGAGCAGGAACAGGTAATGAATGACAAGGGGAGATCTAGGGAGGGGGCTTTTCATTATTCCCACCTTCCTCCCCAGTGCCATCCCTGGAAAAGTCTCAGGAAGTTCAGTGCTATCTCTGTCTTTTTCTGTCTCTGCCTGTCTGTATCTTTGTGTCCCTATCTCTGGCCTTCTGTGTCTGTCTGTCTCTCTTTCTCTCAGGGTCGCTGCTATGGAGGACGCTGCAAAACCAGGGACAAGCAGTGCCGGGCACTCTGGGGCCACAGTGAGTCCTCTGCATGCCACCATCCCAACCCCAATCTCATCTCACGAACACAGACGAAAGCACAGTATGTGTTATGTAGTAGGAAGAATTCTGGTTGGAAGTCAGGAGACCTGGGTTCTAGTCTTTGACAAATCTTGGGTAAACCTTCCCCAGGTCTGTTTCAAAAATGGTGGTGGTAGTCTCTAAAACTGTGTGTTGGACTAAATGGCCTCTATAATCCTAAGGTCTCATCCAGCATTTACATATTGCAGGTCTCTGGTTGTGGGGCCAAGAAGGTGTGATTGAGGGTATAGAAGGGGAATGTCTGGGTGAATGTCCATCTCACCTAGAGCCCTTCCTGAGGTCTCAGGAGCTCAAAGACCTAGTTGCACGTGCATATAGAGAGCTGATCTACAGCATGAGTTTTTAACCTAGGGTCCATGAACTTGGTGTTTTATTTTTTAAATTTTAATAACTATATTTCAAAGTAATTAGTCTCCTTGATAATCCGTCATATTTTGCTGTATACATTTTAAAAACATTCCTCTGAGAAGGGATCCATATGCTTCACCAGACTGCCAAGGGGGTCCATGACACAAAAGCGGTTAATTCTAGATTGTTAGCCCTTTGAGGAAGGGCAGGCAGTTCAGAGAGGTCAGGGCAAGCCGGATGTTTTGTCTCCTACAGATGCTGCTGACCGATACTGCTATGAGCGACTGAACGTGGAAGGGACAGAACGAGGAAACTGTGGGCGGAAGGGCTCTGGCTGGGTCCAGTGTAGTAAGCAGTGAGTGGGTACCCTCTCATGAGAAAGCCTTGGCCGTGGGCTCCTTGGTGTGGGAGGCAGTTGGCTCTGGGCCACCTCAAGAATTTTCTGTTTAGGGCAAAGGCCCTGAGATAAGAAAGAAGGAGAAACCAAAGCAAGAGAAGCTGAGAGGGAGGGAGGGATGGTGAGAAGCTATGAGGGGTACCTATCAGTCTCTACCTCCTGGATCCTCAGTTTCTTCATCTGTTCAGAATTATAGTTAGGATCAGGGTCATGGTTTGGGTTTCTGATAAGCCAGGGTCAGAGCTGAACTTGGCTGGCGGTATTTCAAATCAGGAGCCAATCATCAGAATTAGAGTGTACTCATCTCTACCTTCTCCCCATCTCCCCCCAGGGATGTGCTCTGTGGATTTCTTCTTTGTGTCAATATCTCTGGTGGGCCTCGGCTAGGGGACCTGGGCGGTGACATCAGCAGCATCACCTTCTATCACCAGGGCAGGGAGCTTGATTGCAGGTACCTGGAGCCCTATCTCTTTATCTTATCAGCTGAGGGTAGGGGGAAACCCATCTCTTTGGGGCTAAGCTCAGAGGGGGGAGGTGGAAAAAACTAAGTGGGAGGGAGAGGCTGAGGGGACAAGGTTTTGACTGAGGGACAAAAAAATGGGGAAGTGAATGGGGAGTACACCCCAGAGACTGAAGCAGAGGCTGCCTTTCCCTTTCAGGGGGGGCCATGTGGAACTAGCAGATGGCTCAGACCTGAGCTATGTGGAGGACGGCACTCCCTGTGGCCCCAACATGCTCTGCCTGGATCACCATTGCCTCCCGGCCTCAGCCTTCAACTTCAGCAGCTGCCCTGGCAGTGTGGGCCGCAGGATCTGCTCTGACCATGGGGTTGGTACTGGCCTTTCCAAGCCCAGACACTGATCCTTCCATGAAATGGGTCAAAGCCAGTCTGTCTAGGGAGGGTGGGAAGAGGGATGGGGACAGGAAGGGGAGATGGTGACATCCCACCTCACACAAGGCCTTTCCTCCCCCTCCTAGGTTTGTAGCAATGAGGGGAAATGCATTTGTCAGCCAGACTGGACAGGTAAAGACTGCAGTGTCTACAACCCAATGCCCACGTCTCCACCCACAGAAGAGACTGAAAGATACAAGGGTGAGCTTTGGGGATCTAGGGGTTGGAGTGAGAACTCCATCTTTCTTTGTGTTTTTTTTTTAAGTTAAATTACATTTTTTCAGATATATTTTCCCTACCTTCCCCTTGCCCCTCCCCCCTTAGCGCCCCCCCCCCCCCATAAGAAACATTCATAATCAAGCAAAACAAATTATCTCCTTGGCTACGTGCAAAACATTACATGTCTCATCCTGCACTCCATCACCCGTCAGGAGGTGGGTAGCATATTTTGTCGTGTGTCTTCTGGAATTATGGCTGTTCATCGGATTGGTCAAAGTTCCTAAGTCTTTCAAAGCTCTTATCTTTGCCGAGTTACTGCTCTCTTCTTGCTTCACTCTGCATCAGTTCCTACAAGTTTTCCAAGGTCTCTCTGAAATCATCTCCATTGTTTCTTATGGCATAATTTCTTATGGTATATTCTATTACGTTCACTCAATGTAATTTGTTCAGTCATTCCCTAATTGATGGGCACCCCCCAACTTTTAGTTCTTTTGCCAGCACAAAAAGAGCTGCTATAAATATGTTAGTACTTGTGGGCCTTTTTCTTTTTCCTCTGATCTCTTTGGGATATAGTTCTCAGCCGCCATCTTTTTAATCATTCTCCACCTCTGTATTTTTCCGCTTTCCCTCCTTCCTTCATCCGTTGATTCTTGTAGACGCATTCTTTCTCCATTCTTTCTCTGCTCATTTCTAACCAAGGTCAAATTCCCTTTCACCAGGTCCCAGCGGCACCAATATCATCATCGGCTCCATCGCAGGGGCAGTACTAGTTGCAGCCATCGTCCTGGGTGGCACTGGCTGGGGATTTAAGTAAGAGCTGCCCTCCCTCTCCCAGCTGATTTTACTGACCCAGGGGTGGGGTCACTTATGTGGCTCCCACAGTGTCTGAGTGCCTGGCCTCTGATGACCCTGGGCCAGCCTTTGGGAAGGGGGAAGGGAACGCTGGTCCTGATGGGGCTAATCGAAGGCTGGCACAAGGAAGTAAGTCCCTAAATGGACTCTGTCTCTCTGTCTCTGTCTCTCCTCTCTCCCTTTCCCCTCCCTTCTTCACTCCTGAAGAAACATCCGCCGAGGAAGGTATGACCCGACTCAGCAGGGGGCAGTGTGATGACCTCTCCACTTCCATTCCACCTGCATCCACATCTGCATCTGTCTCCATCTCCATCTCCATCATCAGCTGCCATCCTGATTTCTCCATTGGGCACAGACCTGAGCTCACTATTCGCCACCTAGTTCCCTTTGCAGGGAGTGGGGTGCTAGGTTGGAGAATGACAGGCACCAGTGCCCTCTGTCATTCCAGCCTGCCTGCCTTGGATCCAGCCTGGCTATTGGCTTATCCACCTGCTTACTCATTGAAAGGGTCACTTTACCGGACCATCCTTTTCTACCACCAGCTCTCCACAGCCCCCACTACAGACCAAGGCCCCGCAAATATCCACTGGGTCTCCTCAACCTCTGTCCTTCAGCAATAAATAACCACAGCACCAGTCCCCTGGGGATGGGGGAAACACAGGCCCCACAATCCACCTGTCTCCCCATCCCATCTGTTCATTTCTTCCATATCGTCTACTGTCTGACCTCCCCTGCTCCTCCTCCCTTCTAGCCTTTCATGTGTTCTGTGACTTTCCCTTCACCCTCTACAGATTGTCATGGTGACAGACAGGTCGTACTTAGAGAGCAGATGTTCAGACATCTAGGGTGGTGGGTGGGGGGAATCCGCTCCTCTGCGAGGGCCTTTGTGGGAAGAAGGCCCTAAATCCTATTTGCTTTAGTACCCTTCTTCACTTCACCATCTTGGGGGGTGGGGTGGCTAGGGAGTCACGCTTTCCCCCTGCTCGCCCATCAGTTCTCTGGGTGTTTCTGTGCTCAGCTGGACTGAAGCCCATCCCTTCTGTAAGATGGTTCCCCTCACCCTCTCTGGTCCCTTGTTTCTCTTCCAGGTCGGGTGGGGCCTAAGCTCCTCTCCACCCCCTGCCTGGCGCTCACAGTCACCACCTGGAAGGGGAAAGGACACACCTGCCCTCACCCCACCAACAGAGGAGCCATGCCATATGAAAGTCTTCCCAGGGCCAAGCAATCAGACAGGCCCCCAGAGGGACATCTTGGTGGGATGGGTCCCTGGGATGGAAGGGCTGCGGCCCCAGCCCCTGCACTACTACTGAGAGTGGGTGGGGCTGGAGTGTTCATCCTGCCCCCCTCCTCCGCCTCATGCCCAGCTTTGCCTTGTGTGCACTCACCCCCTCCCCATGTGAATGTAGCTTCCATTATCACTGACTGTGCCCAGGCTGGGACCACAGGCCCGAGGGCATCAGTGAGGGAGGGGGACAGCCACCAGCTGACACTGCACTTTGGCCCTGGGGGCACCTTGGCTGACCCTGCCTGCAAGACTGGTTCAGTCAATAAAATGCCAGGACCCAGGGCCTCCACACCCAGCCTTCCAGGGGTTTGGGGGATAACCGCTCTTTGCCCCATGCTCTGGCTTCCTCGCTCTCCCAGTCAGAGCCTGGAGGTGGCTTAAGATGTCAGATTTTTTTTATTGAGACCTAAATGATGAATGTAACCACAAGGTTGGCAGGGACCAGGGTAGCTTTTAAGGGCATTCTGGTATTAAGGGGGAGAAAGAAGAGAAAAAAAGACATAGGGATTCCCCCCTCTCTTTGATGGGGTCAAAGTTGTTAATTACAGAACAAACATTTTTTCCAAATCTAAGGTGGAGTTTGGGGAGCAGTCCTTACTTCTATCTATCCCCAGTACAAACTGGAGCTCCCCAGCCCTAACAAAACACAGGACAGGCCTAAGTGTTAAATTTAAACCAAAGCTGCCTGGTTATGTGGCCATGACCCCAGAATGTCAGTGAGGGCCAGGGACTGGACTGGCAATCCTAGGGAGGCATATGTCATGAGCTATTCCCTTCTGGGCGGTTCTGGGACTAACTCAGGGTTTGAGTGCCCATTGGGGTGACCTTACACGTTGTAGGCAGGTGAACCTCTTCCCTGGCCATGGGGACTGGATTCAAGGTATCCTGTGATTGGTGCTATGGTGGGTATCAGAATAATGGGGAAGGAAAGCACAGGTCCCCATAGCAATCTGCAATCCCAAGACAGGACTTCAAGACTACATCTTCCCAGACACTCACCTTATACTCCCCTTCCTCCTTCTGCCCTGAACCCAAGGCCTGAGCAGTGTTTACATATGTTTTTGCTGCTGCCTCTCCACCCCCACCCTTTGAACCCAAAATGGGAGGCATCTCTCCATCTGGGGGGAGAGAGATCACCCGTGGTTGGCTCTCCCTGGACAATCACCCTGCCTCTGGACTTCCTTTATGAACTTTGACCTAGAGCCGAAGAAATGAAGGGGCTAGGGAACCTGTCCTACTCCCTCTCTCCTAGTTTAAATCTGTTTGGCCTGGGATGTGTGAGAAGGGAGACAAAAAGGCCTATGCCTCCCTTCTCCACAACCAACACCACTCCTTCCTGATGAAAGCTGCAGTTTTCAGCCCTTTCCACGTCTTCTATTAAGTCCAGGCTCCCTCAACTGGGGCAACTCTGGGGAGGAATCAGAGGGGGGTGGGCTGCATCCCCCTTCCCTCCCCAATCCTCACCTCAGGTGCTAGCTGAGGGGACCTGGGGCTGCTACATTTTGATTCCTTCTAAGTAGCTGTGGGAACTGTGGTAGCACCTGGCTGCAGTAACTAGTAGGGCAGGGTCCTAGATGCTCCTAAGTTCTAGTTGGCTCTGCCCAAGGCAAGGTGTCTATGGGTGGGAACCCACTAACAAGCCCTGTCCTAAGCACACCTGCCCTGCTGCCTGGAGAAGTAAAAGCAGGTCTAGTGATGCCTTATGGAGTTCCCCTGGTGGGATTGTGTGCACATTTGTGTTGGCACGTGCCTGAGCTTAAGTTTATGGCTTTGCACGTCTGCACAAATGTACCTCTGGGTGTGCCAGTGTGTGAGTGTGTGTGTGAGTGGCTGTGTGCATGCATGTGTGTGCTTGCACACTCGTGTGTATGGTGTATATATGTGCCCACACTGGTTGGGGGAAGGGAGAGAGAATGTCTACCACCTTTGTGTGACCAGTAAGCCTGATGCTGTCAGCCATCAGCATCCTCTCATCCCGCTGCCTGCCCCTGTGGTCCCCCAGGCTGGGGCAGAAGCTGTAGATTCCCTGAGAGTGATGCTGTCTTCATGAAGCATCCTGTAAATACACCATTATGGGGGGAAGGGGAAGAGAGGGAAATAAAGATCACATCCTGGGGCTTCCACAGAGCTCACACTCACACTCTTGGTCTTGTTATTGACTTTGGCTCTTGATGTGATTTCTCAGCCTGTCTTCTTTCTTTCTTTCTTTTTTTTTGGGGGGGGGCAATTGGGGTTAAATGACTTGCCCAGGGTCACACAGTTAGTAAGTATCAAGTGTTTGGTCTGAGGCCAGATTTGAACTCAGGTCCTCCTGACTTCAGGGTGGGTGCTCTATCCACTGCGGCACCTAGCTGCCCCAGTAAGACACTCTTAAAGGGTCTATCTCATCTTAGAATTCATTTACACCTCAACAGGGCAAAGGTGGATCCAGATCAGTTATCCCTTCCACACTGTGACTTTATCCATCAAGGTTTCCATATATCACGGGTTGGCCTAAGAAATCAAATGAGAATTTTGGGGAGAGTTTTGTGGAAGCTGCAGACAATACACGAAGGCCAGCAGATGACACAAAGCCTATGACTAAATACTTAACACAGATTTCACAACAAATAACCCATAAAAGTAAAAGAAAAAATTGAGGCTTCTTCTCGGGTACGAAGGGAGGGTCAAAAAATTTTAGGCAGATTTTCCAGACGGCTGGGTGCCACGTCCCTAACTTCCATGATGTGAAAGAGATAACTATTTCTCCCTGGGATTGGGGTAAGAAGACACAGCCCAGACATCCAGACTGATCTGATACCTATCCTGAGCTATACATTCATTGCTCCCACCATCATGTGTGTACCCCAAAACACTAGGGAGCACTTTAAATTCCAAAAGGGGACACAAAATAGCAGGCTTAAATATTCGGTAAATCAAAATCATTCCAGACTAAGAGGGGGCAATGGATAAAGTCTGGGACTTTGTTATAACTCATGGGATCATAGATTTGGAGCTAGAAGGGACATAAAGGACCAACTGAATAAATAAGCATTTACTCAGAGCCTACTATGTGTCAGTAACTATGCTAGGTGAAGGAGATATAATTACAAAAGTGAGACAGTCCCTCACAGCTAGTGAGGGTCTGAGGTCAAATTTGAACTCATGAAGATGAGTCTCCCTGACTCCAGGGAGTCAGGCACTCTATCTACCGTACCACTAGCTGCCAGTGTGACAGTTACCACACTCTAAAGCACTATATAAACCTAAGCGAGTAATATTATTTACAAAATACTTGACTCATAACAACCTTATGGGGTACGTGGTGCAAGTGTTATTTCCCGCATTTCTCGGATGTGGAAAGTATGCCTCACAGAGTGATTTGTCCATGACCACAAAGCTAGTAAATGCCCGAGCCAGGGATCCAAGAGAAATCTTCCAAGTTTAAGCTCTCTTCCTCATGCCAAGCTGGGTCCCAGGAAAGGCAATGGGAGTGAGCAGCTTGGTGACAAGGCAGTAGGCATTTATTTAGTGCTTACTAAGTGCCAGGAATGGTGTTAAGTGCTAAGGATACAAATGCAAGAAAAAAAAGAGACAGTCCCTGCCCTCATGGAGCAGAAGACATCACACAAAAGGAAATTGAAAATGGAAGCGGGAGTTGGGGGAGAAGGTACCAACTTGGGGACAACGGTGTTGAAGTCTGGAAAGTCAGAAGCACAGCCAGGAGGAGAATGAAGGTTAGCTGACCTGGGATCTTCCCCCAAATGGAGGCTCCTGGAGAGGAGCTCAACAATGGGAGAAGAGGACCAACATGGTAGAGGGATGTTTCAGAGTAAGAAGGCTCCAGGATACAGTGGTTTCCAATGAATAACTGAAAAAGTATTTATAAGTGCTTGTTGTTGTTCAAGCGTGCCCAACCCCATCTGGAGTTTTCTTGGCAAAGATACTGGAGTGATTGGCTATTTCCTTCTCCAGTTCGATTTACAGATGAGGAAACTGAGGTAAGTAGGGTTAAGTAATTTACCGAGGGTCACATAGTAAGTGTCTGAGACTGAATTTGAACTCAGATCTTCCCAACTACAGGCCTGGCACTTTATCCATTTTGCCACCTAGCTGTGCCCCACCCCTCTCCTCCTATCTCCCCACCTCACCCACACTGGTGACTACATCCCTTCCAGAAGCAGTAACTGAGTTAATTTGATCATGATTTCAGAACTGGAAAGGAGTAGGAAAGGGACAAAGATAGCCTGGGAGAAGAGAGTGAGTGCTGCTGGGGACAGTCACCAGTGAGTTTGACTGGACATTAGGGCAGAAGTTTTAGAGAGAAACGTCTCAACAACCCCAAGGTATGGTCTGTGGTCAGCAAGGCAGGTGGTAAGAAGACAGCAGGCACGTAGGGACTCCAGTTCAATGGATAGAGATAGGTAGGTTGGTAAAGACAGAGAACGGTGGAAAGTCCTGAAGCAACTCTATTTGTAGTTGTGGAGAAGGGGAAAGTAACAAACATTTATTAAGTGCCAGACACTTAGGGGCTGCTAGGTATCACTGTGGCGATAA